TCACAGAACAGGAGACTTGTTTTTGTACAACACCTAGTTGTGCTCAGGGCTTACTCCTGGTGGTGCTTGGAGGACCATATAGGATGCTGGTAGATTGACTGTGTACAAAGCAAGAGCCCTACCCACTATACCATTGCTCTGATCCATCAATGACATTTTGGAATGTGAATTACACAGAAATTTGCCAAGTTTTCTCTCTTTACTTTTCTTTAAAATGAGGCGTGCAGAACAGAAAATCAGAAAGGAACTGTTGAAGCACAATTTTACCTGTTTTCCACTCAGTTCTCCTCAGTGTAAGGACAAAGGGGCATACTGAGATTACTGAAAGTTTATGATGTGGCATCACCCACTTCACACTTGATTATTAGAGTGAAGTTCCAGAAATGCATGCCTCAAAACTAAACACATTCTTCCTAATGGGATACAGACACAGACACTGTTGTTGGATTTAAATCACATTGGCAGCAGCCACAGTGAAAACACAGGGCACGGGTCATATAAAGCCATGCTGGGTTGCGGGTAACGGGCTTGCTCAATCCCTGATGAAGGTATATCTGTGCCCGAATCTAGGGGACAGCATGTAATCTCTAGTCAGACTTTGAAAATCTGTGAGAATGTCTGTTTTTCCAAATATGAAAAATGCAAAATAGGAAAAAACATAAACCTTTTTTTTGCTTTGTAAGAGTATTTTTTAAGAAGTTCCCAAAGGTAAGGGGGGCGTTTCGCTCCGCCCTTCACGCCCTACCGAGGCCACCAGTTGCCCCCCACGAGCGGCTCTCCAGCACGGCCACGACTCCAGAACACAGAAACCAATTTCTTAACTATCTGACTTTCAGTAGAAATACTTCCAGGGTCAATAGGTAAAATAGCAGAAATTCAAAACCAACATTTAATTCTTGAACCCAGCTGTAGAAAGCAAATCACTTCACAATGCTTTTTCAGCATGTCTGATTTGGGGGGGGGGTAAACTCTAAATAATAGTGGTGAATCTTTTATTGAAACAATCTAATCAAAGCGGATAGAGTGTTAACTAGAATTCATCTGCCTCACAGGGACGGGGAGGGGTGGGGGGTGGGGTTTTATTGGGGTTCTTCATGGGAAAAAATAAGTATTGGTAAAGGGAAATGTGTTTGATATTTGCATGACTGAGACATAAACCTGAAAGCTTTGTAACCTTTCCCACAGTGATTCAATAAATAAATAAAATAAAATAAAAAAAAAAAAAAGAAGTTCCCAAAGGTATGGTGATGAGAAAAAGAAAGAAAAGTCTTGTCTGAGATGTACAGAAAATGACTGTTGGGTGCAATGACAGATTACTTGTATGTTTTCAAATACTATAGCATTAAAAAGGGGAATCAAGGAAGATTGGTAGCTGCTGTAGACAACTGCTGAAACCGCTGACACTGGCTCACAGTTATCATACTTGTGCATGTATAAAATCCTCTGTAATAAAAAAAGGGGAAACACTTTTTATTTTAAAAGAACAGTTCCTAACACTGATAGGATGGTCAATAACTTACCCAATTGAGTGTTCTCAGATTGCTCATTAATGAGGTTAATACAAGTGGCAACAATGAAGCAAAACCAGACAAACGTGGATTACATGAACACTGGTGAAAGATGAGGGAAAAAAAATATTATGCTGGCTCAAAACAACTCACATGTATTTTATAGTTAAATTGTTCCTTTCCCAAAAGGAAATGAAATGAATGACAATGAACCATGTATGTCACAGAATGAATTACAAATCATTTAAGTTCTCAGTTTAGCATCACATCATTCACTCAGCATGAATGTTGACTGGGTCTGGAGCGATAGCACAGCGGTAGGGCGTTTGCCTTGCACGCAGCCAACATGGCCGACCCGAGTTTGATTCCTCTGCCTCTCTCGGAGAGCCCAGCAAGCTACCAAGAGTATCCTTGCCCGCTCGGCAAAGCCTGGCAAGCTGCCCGTGACGTATTCGATATGCCAAACATAGTAACAAGTCTCACAATGTTTCTGGGCCCGCTCGAGCAAATCGATGAACAACGGGTGGACAGTGAGATAGTGAATGTTGACCTACTTGATGTTCTTAAAAGATTTCAAATCCATTACATGGGTCAAAAAAAAAAATCATTATGGATTCCCATATTATGATGTTTTCATTTTTACTTAAATGCTGAACTATACAAGAATAAATCGTAATCAAGTGTAAATGGAATTTGGAGTATTTTTCTAGGACGGTTAAAAAAATCATTTTCTAGAAATGCTGGACCCATAAATCAGGGCACCCAGAAAACAAGATGCATGAAATATATATATATATATATATATACATATATATATATATATATATGTCACTGGATATAATGAGAAACAGATGAAGATGCATTTTTTAAATCTTTGTTCCTGTTTCCTGGCACAGGGCTCCTAAAATCCTAGGAATTTTCTGTGTTTCTCTTATTAATACTCAATTAAATCAGTTTATAATAGTTATTTCAGGTTGAGGGTCCCACACTAGCTGTGGATAATTCCCAGAAAGATCAAAAGTTTAGAGGTTTTTCCCTTTGATTTTGGGAAAATATTTTCCATTTTATTTTGGTATATGGGCTGGAGCGATAGCAAAGTGGGTAGGGCGTTTGCCTTGCACACAGTGGACCGGGGCAACCCGGGTTCGATTCCTCCGTCCCTCTTGGAGAGCCTGGCAAGCTACTGAGAGTATATCGCCCGCACAACAAAGCCTGGCAAGCTACCCGTGACGTATTCTATATGCCAAACAGTAATAACAAGTCTCACAATGGAGACGTTACTGGGCCCGCTCGAGCAAATTGATGAATAAGGGGAGGACAGTGCTATAGTGCTATTTTGGTATATGAGTAACTCCTGATCTAGTATTTCAAGTGTGAATTACGTAAACACTTTGTAGACTGTGGTTAAAATAAGCAATGTACTGGCCCAAATGCCAGTCTTTTTATTGGGAAGATGGTTCAAAGGGCTGGAGCATAGGCTCTGCAAGTGAGGACCCTGGTTTGAGACCTGGCAGCGCTGTGGAGTGACCCCTATGCACTGACTCAGGAATAGATATCTGGTTTGCCTCAAAACAAAAAGAAAAGGTGAATATATTTGTTAAGAATTTCAGCCCAGGGCTGGAGTGATAGCACAGCAGGTAGGGTGTTTGCCTTGCACGCGGCTGACCCGGGTTCGATTCCCAGCATCCCATATGGTCCCCCGGGCACTGCTAGGGGTAATTCCTGAGTGCATGAGTCAGGAGTAACCCCTGTGCATTGTGGGGTATGACCCAAAAAGCAAAAAAAAAAAAAAAAAAAAGAATTTCAGCCCAACACTGCAAACTCTGGGGGAGGGTTGGGGGCCAAGTAGAGGAGAATAAACTCTGAAAACTGAACCAAAGTTTTGGTAAGTGAACACGTATTTGTCCTTGTTCTGGGAGGACATCACAACACCCTAAGCTCCCATGCTAGGAACTCTTCCAGATGTGTTGTGAAGGATTTTTTCATCTGCAGTTCCTCTGGATACTTCAACATTCTTTGTAATTGTTTCTACTAGTAGTTCTGCAAATAAAGCTGTTACTGTGAAAATGAAAAACCAGACTGATACTTCTGTTGAAAATGCAAGTGAGGAAAGAAAAGAGAGAGGGGAAAGAGAGAGGAGAGAAAGAGGGAAGCGGAGAGGAGAGATGATATATGGAGAACCCTTCACTGACAATACCAGATTGTCTCCCATCTTCGTTTTTCCTAAGGGCCTTTATTTAGGAACCACCATAGTTTGGTTCTGTAGCAACTTTTATTGGTCAAAGGATGTGGAATGATAGGTAGTATCTGTGTCGTAATGAACAGACTTATTTGTAAACCAACTTAACATTTGTCTTTTAAAAAAACTCTTGCTTTTGAATACACTGATGTATTAGAATGAACATTCTCTTGGCCCATGCAAAGATCTCATTCAAAAATGAGCGGCTTGCACAATCATTACAAATGAGACACTGAGTGAGATTCTTCCAACAAGGGCCATGATGCAGTTCAGTCTGGAAATTAGCTACACGTTGTATTTTTTCCCAAATAAATCAAGGCATTAAGAAGATCAAATGAAAAGATCTATAATAGATATACATTGGATACATACTGGCTTTTAAAATCTAAGTTCCCAGAGATTGTTGGCATCTTTGTTTTCTTTAACAAAAGCAGTAGGCAACTTCAAAGAAAATTAAAAAAAGGTAATAACATTGACCAGACTACAGCTACATAGTCACAGTGAAAGAATACATATAAGTTGAGTGTTGTTTCACTTTTCAGCCTTAAATATATTTCACCTTTAAACAAAAGTTCTAATATGTGCTTTACATTGACATTTAAAAATATTAGAACAAGTCTTTGTAATACATACTTCAATATACGTCATGTGAACTAAAAACAAGTCAACTTGATAACTTTAGTAAGGCATTTAAGTATTCAGCAAAAGCTATACAGAAATTTATTAAAGGTATCCCCTTAATATTAACTTGGTTCAGTGGGTTTCTTTAAAATGAACACAAAACAATACAAGACTTACAAAAGGGGCAGTGAATCTGTAAGACTGAAATCCAGAAAAAAAAGACATAAACACTGTGTTTCTTTTTTGCGGGGAGGCGGGGCATAGCCAGTGGTGTTAGGACATACATACTCTTCACTCTGTGATCACTACTGGAGGTGCTAGGGGGACCATATGTGGTCATATGTGGTGTCATGTATCTAACTAGGGTTGGTCACATGCTAGGCAAGTGCCCTATGCTGTACTATTGCTCTGGCCTAACAATGTGTTTCTAATAGGATAGACCAGCACATCAGCAACAGAAGAGCAACTCTATGTTACTGGGTTAAATGTATATACCAAGGGTAAGAAAACACTCAGTTGCCCAGACTGGTTAAATGTACTGTAATATTTGGTGCTGGATCACAGTAACTAAAAAAGAGCATGTACTGATTCTAAAGTGATCTGGCTTTAAAATTAAGAGTGTGGGACAAAGGACAGTTTGTGGAAAAACAACACTGTCCATTTTATTTTGGTATATGAGTAGCTACTGATCTAGTATTTCAAGCGTGATTCATGTAAACACCTTGTAGACTGTGGTTAAACATAATCAAATAAGCAATGTACTGGCCAAAATGCCAGTCTTTTAATATCAGGTCATGAATATAACTGACTGTGATGTAATAACTTGACAAGATCAAACACACCTCACAGTGAATAGATTTCACTTCATATGATTACAAAAAATAAAAGAACGCTTTTAGTGCAACATTCTATCATACCATACATTAGATACCATGCTCAGGGGACTACAGTATATACAATACATAGCCAGGGTTTCAACCGAAGGTGAAAGGGAAAATATGGAACAGAAAATGTTTACATACTTGTATTCATCTAATGGCATTGTTTGTTGATTCATATTTATTATATGGTTAGCTGTCACATATCTACTAGCTTGCATAACAACCCAGATTTTATATATATATATATATATGCGTATATATGTATATATATATTTTTTCTTTTTTGCACAAAGATCTACTTATGTATAAAGTAGAAAAAGATGGTGGTAAAAAACTTCAGATTCTTCAAGTTCCAGGTCTCAAATACCACTGTATGAACACCTAAAAAATATTAAGAACAATTAAAAATATCCATAATTATTAATTCAAAAGTCCTATGGAGAATTAGCAAATACTTACGATTTTTATTAAATGTACCTTTTCTATTAGATATTGCTGATGAGATTTAAAAGTTCACTATAGAATATGGAAAAAAGGAAGTTTAAAAAAAGTTAAGCTCTACATTTGCAGATTTCACATATGAGATTTTTATTTTAATAATAGGCACATTAACCTAAATTTCAATCAATCCAAGAAGATTTTTCATTGAAACAAAGGCACTAGAACCTGTCTTGATCACTTGATCTTTCTCACCAACTACATCTTTTCCTTCTTTGTGGAAAAAAAAAAAAGAACAGAAAAATTTCCTATGGCATTTAAACTCTTTCAAGCAAGACCTTTTTTTTTTTTTGCTTTTTGGGTCACACCCAGCGATGCTCAGGGGTTACTCCTGGCTCATGCACTCAGGAATTACTCCTGGTGGTGCTCCGGGGACCATATGGGATGCTGGATGCTGGGAATCGAACCTGGATCGGCCATGTTGGCTGCATGTAAGGCAAATGCCCTACCCGCTGTGCTATTGCTCCAGCCCCAAGACTTTTTTTTTAACTGGTGTATTCAATATGCCAAAAACAGTAACAACAAGTCTCACAATTTGTTGTGAGATGTTACCGGTGCTCGCTCGAGCAAATTGATGAACAATGGGAGGACAGTGCTACAGTGCTTTTAATTGGTAAGGTTAGGCTTAATTTACCATTTTACTATTTGTGCCATCAATTTTTGGTTTCCTTTTACTGTCTTCTTTTTGATTAAGTACTTGGACTGTGTTCATCCTATTTTAATTACTTTGTCAGTTATTAGACAAAATGATTATTATAGTGGTTGCTTTAGTTTTTTTTTTCTGATTAGGAATTTTTATATAGAGCTGTTTCAGGTTTGCAGCAAAATTTAGGAAAGCAGATATTTCTCATATGCCCTTAAACATGCAGAATCTTCCCCATAATTAATATATCCTTCATTAGAACTGATGTTACAACTATACTATCACATCAGTCACGTAAAATCCACTGCTCACGTTCTTGATGATGTGCTTTCTGTGAGTGTAAGTAAACAAACAATATGTACTTTATGATATTATATGAAGTATTTTCAATGCCCTAAATATATCATGCTCCATCCCTTCTATTCCCAATCTCAACTGTTGGTCTTTTTACTGTCACTGTCACTTGCCTTTTCCAGAATAGCGTTTGGTTAGAAATCATACAGCAAGTGTGTGGCCTTTTCACATTGGCTTTCTTCACTCAGTAATATGCTCGAAGGTTCCTTGATGTCTTTCTGAGACTTGATGGCTCATTTATTTCCAACACTAAATAACACAAAACTCACTAGATATACCACTGTTTATCTATGAACCCAACTATCCAAAGGCATTTCAGGAACATTTACATTTTAGCATTTATGAATAAACCAACTATAAAAATTCATGTGTAATGCCTTCAACTTTTGGTAAATACTAAGTAGTGAAGATGGTTGGAAGAACATCCTGGTAGTTTTGTAGTGGGATCTCAGTGCTGTTTTCTATTTTCTTGATGACATCAATATGCAGTATATTTTGGTATACATATTAATAGCACTTGTTTGTCTTTTCTAATGAGGTATTTTCTAGCAATGTTATTAAGTATGCCTACAAGGCAGAGTCTGGCAAGCTACCTGTGGCGTATTTGATATGCAAAAAGACAGTAACAATAACGGGTCTCATTCCCCTGACCCTGAAAGAGCCTCCAATATGGCAGCATTGGGAAAGATGAGAAAGGAGAGGCTGCTAAAATCTCAGGGCTGGGAGGAATGAAGACATTACTGGCACCCGCTCAAGTAAATTGATCAACAACGGGATGACAGTGACAGTGACAATGAGGTATCCAGATCTTTGGCTCATTTTAAATGGGTTTTTCTTGGTTTTAAGAATTCTTTGTATATTTTAGGGGTCAGAGAGGCAGTTTAATGGGCTGGAGCGCAAGCTCTGCATGAGGGAGACCTGGGTTTTATAGTCCTGGCATGACGTGGTCTCCCACGCACTGCCAAAAGTGAACCCTGGACACTGAATCTGGAGCAGCCATGGAACTCTGTCAAGGGTGACCCAAAAAAACAGTAACAAAAAAAATTGTGTATTTGGGCTGCAGTGTAGAGGGTATGGCGCTTGCCTGTCATGCAGCTGATCTGGGTTTGACTCCTCTGTACCTTATATGATCCCCAAGTCCTGCCAGAAATGACTCCTGAGTGCAGAACCCTGAGCACAGCTCAGACCCCAAAACCAAAAACCAAAAAACCCTACATATTTTGCAAAATAGGTCTTTGGAAGTATTTTATCCCTGCTATTATCTTATTTTCTCCTTCTCTTGACACTGTCTTCCACAAATATTTGTAATTTCCCTTTTCTTTGGGGGACAAGATGGGGGTAAGGGACTGGGCTACACCCAGAGATATTAAGCATGCGTTCCTGGCTCTAGGTTCAGGAATGAGCCCTGGCAGTGCTCAAGGGCTTAAGGGTGGTGAGTGGAATTTGAACTAGGATCAGTAACATTCAAGGCAGTTATAAACAGGGGCCGGAGTCATAGTACAGGCAGGTCTTGCATGCAGCTAAGACAAGTTCGATACCAAGCACCCCATATAGTCCCCTGAGCACTGCCTGCGTGCAGTCAGGAATAAGCCAGGAGCACCACCAGTTGTAGCCCCAAAAAGGACAGTTACATACACGCACACGCATAACTCTCATGCGATCTCTCTTATCCCAGAAGTTTGTAATTTTAATTAAGACCAGCTTATCAACTATTTATTTCGTGGATTCTAACTTTGATACTGTATCTAAAATTGTTATTGTCATACTCAGGATTATTCAGGTTTCCTATATTATTTTGCAGTTTTATAGTTTTGCATCTACTAGCGAACTAATTTTTAAGAAGGATATCAGGTCTTGTCAAGTTCATTTTGTATGCACTGTGGATGGTAAATTTTTCCATCACTGTTTGCTGAAGGCTATTTTTATTACATTGCATTGCCTTTGCTCCTTTGTCAAAGATGAACTGATTCTACTGATTCAATTTTGTCAATCAAATTGTCTATTCTTTCACCAATAGCAGACCGTTTCAATTGCTCTAGTTTCACAGTATTTTAAGGTCAGGTAGTGTCATTCTTCCAACTTTGTTATGAGGAAGATCTGATCACATCAGTAACATCAGTAACATCTGAACAACACTTTTTCCTTCTGCATTTGAACGTGGATTTTCTCTCCATTTATTTCACTCATCAGAATTTTATGGCTTTCCTTGTAGGTTTTATGTATGTTTTGATAATACTCAAATATGTCTTCTCTTTTGTATGCCAATATTTATGGTATTACATTTAATTTCAAATTGCATTTAATTTCCTGTTCAAGAAAAATGAATGGCCTTTTTGTGTATTAATTTTGAATCCTTCAGCCTAGCAACATAACTGTTTGTACAGGAGGATTTTGGTGTTTGAGAATTCCAAAATTCTTCTGGATTTTTTTTTTTACATAATTAATGTATCTACAGAGACAACTTAATTTTTTCCCTTTGCAACCTGCAAACATTTTATTTTCTCATCTTACTACATTCGTATGAAGCTGAAAAACAGTGGTAAAGAAATCTTTGCCTTCTATTCAGACTCAAAGGTAAGTTTCAAGTTTCTCATCATTAAATATGATGCCAAAGTAGGTTTTTAGTTGCTGTCGGTGGGGCCACTCATGGCAGTGCTGGTGAGGTAAGCAATGAAGGGAGCTGATCCCAAGGCCTCCCATAAGCTAGGTGTGTGCCCCACCACTTGAGCAGCAAGGTTTCTGAAGATATTTTTTTTTTCAGTTGAGGAAATCCCTCTCAATTTCTAGCTAACTGACAGCTTTTTAAAAGTTACCATCTATGGTTTTGAATTTTGTCATATGGCTTCACATTTTTCTTTAGTCTGTGAATATAACCAATTATATGATTTTGAGATGCTGTACACCTGATGAGCCTTGTACACCTGAATAAAATAAACACCACTTGGTAGAAGTACATAATTCTTTTTTTATGGGGGGAGGTGTTTGGGTCACACCCAGTAGTGCTCAGGTCTTACTCCTAGCTTTGTGCTCAAGGATCACTCCTTGGTGCTAGAGGACAATATGCTGGGCTGGGGATTGAACCCAGGTTAGTAGTGTGTAAGGAAGGCATGTACTTATCCTACTATAGTGGATAACCCAGTTCCCTGCATGCAGAGCTCAGCCCGACTGAACTACCTTCCCCAGTTGCTAAGTTTTTTTAGGACTCTCAATAATTTTTAAAGTTTATGATGTGATTTTATTCTAAATACAGTTAGGTAGTACACTCTAATTTGAAGATCCAGGGAAGAGCCAAAATATAACCCTTATTACTTTGAAAATGTCTTTTATTTATATAATCAATTTTTTTTCATAATATATATGCAAAAAGTATTTCTAGAGCCAAGCAGGTATGGACCTCAAGAGAAGTGAAGAGTCAAGGGTTAGGAGGGACAACAGATTGCTGAGCTGTGAGCACATACCGATACAGATTCTCGGGTGCTACTTCTAACAGCCACACTCCTGGGCACTCGGGGCCTGTGAGCGACGAGGTGACCGCAGCTGTCTCAATGCAGCATCTCCGTACTGAATACCTGAGCCCATTCTTTCTGGGTCGAGTTCACCTGAGGAGTAAACAAATACTCTTTTAAAAAAAGTATTTATGGTTTCTCTGATCCCCAACAAATATTAAGTAAAAAATATCAAGTACACAACACTGTATATATCCTACCATTTTGAACAAAGAGGATAAATCAATCTATCATCTATCTATCTATCTATCTATCTATCTATGCCTATATGTTTTCAGAGGCATAAAACTACTTTTGAAAAGATGCAAAAAGAACTAATAACAGACACCAAAAAGTCAAGAATGGTTAGGAGACACAAAAAGGCTGGTAATGAAAGTGAATTTCATTGTATTCGCTTTTGCAGTTTCTGAATTTGGATAAATGAACATATAGAGAGATACATTAATTTAAATTTCAAAGTTATGATTTGTTATAGAAGATAAAAACCCAACTATGACAAAATACCCTATACCTTTCATTTTGGTGAAATAAGTACTTCTATTTGTTATCAGTATGATTATAACTTACTATTACCCTGTCACTGTTCTCCCATTGTTCATCGATTTGCTTGAGCGGGCCCAGTAACGTCTCCATTTTTTTTGAGACTTGCTGTTACTGTGTTTGGCATATTGAATACATCACGGGTAGCTTGCCAGGCTCTGCCGTGCGGGCGAGATACTCTTAGTAGCTGGCCAGGCTCTCCGAGAGGGGCGGAGGAATCGAACTCGGGTCGGCCATGTTGGCCGCTTGCAAGGCAAACGCCCTACCTGCTGTGCTATCACTCTAGCCCAGCTATTACCCTGAAAGGAGGATTTTTATTTTTATTTTTTTGCTTTTCGGGTCACACCCGGCAATGACAGGGTTTACTCCTGGCTCTGCGCTTAGAAATTACCCCTGGCAGTGCTCAGGGGACCATATGGGATGCTGGGAATCGAACCCCGGTCAGCCACGTGCAAGGTAAACACCCTACCTGCTGTGCTATTGCTCCAGCCCTGAAAGGAGGAATTTGATCGTTTCTAATTCCAAATGTTTATGTTCTTTTAGCATGGAATTCAAAATGTATTATACACTGAACAGACGCGATACATTAAAGGTTAATTACCGCAGCATTTTTTCCCCTCTCTCTCTTTTTTTTTTTTTTTTGGCCACACCTGGCAGTGCTCTGGGCTTACTCCTGCCTTTGAGATCAGGGATTACTTTTGGAGCTCTCTGGAATAGCTTCTTGCTCCCTAGAGCAGCTTTTCTCAGTCCTGAATGTCTCAACCACATGACAGCCTTTAAAATGCTGGTGCTCAGGACATAATTCTGTCCAAATAACTCAGTCTCCCCAGAGGTGGAATCTGGGATCAAGTTTCTATTTGTCCCAGGTAACTAGTGAACAGTCAGGGGTAAGTCTCAGTTCCATCAGACCCTGCCATAATCTTAGTAATCTAATAACTTCAACCTTCTCTCTCTCTCACCCAGCATTGGCTTATGTTGTTCCTTCCCTGGATAACCCCCTCCTCTTCACCCAAGAGTGGTTCACTCTTCCTCGTATTTTGAAAGACTGCTTAGCTGTCATTCCTTTTTTCACTTATTGTATATTGGCCATACTATATTTTCATTTTCTTTTGATATTATTCAACATTTTTTTTCCAGGCCACACCTGGAAGTGCTCAAGGCCTACTCTCAGTCTGGTGCTCATGTATTATTCCTGGTGTTGCTTTGGGAACAACATGGTAACAAGTTCAGGTCTATTACATGCAAAGCACATGCTCCATCACTTTTAGCTATCTCCTTGGCACAAAGGCACTATTTTTTTTTTTTGAGAGGTAGTGGGTTGGGCTGTAGTATGACCCCTGGCAGTACTCAGGGGCATATGTGGTGCCACGGATTCCAACCAGGGTTGCAGCCAAGGTAGTCAGATATAAGGCCTTATCTCCTGCAATATTCCTCTGGTCCCCAAAGACAAGATTCTTGAAGGCATTACTTCATTTTTGACTCCAAGCATCTCACAAAGAATAAGCATTCCACTATTTGAATAAATTATTTAAAAGGTAAATTTAACTGGAGTGTATGCTTTGCACACAGAAGGCCCAAGTTCATTCCCTGGCACTGTATGGTCCCCTAAGCACCTCTGGGGAGTGATCCACAAACATCAATCTGGGAGCAGATTACACATACCTCTGCCACCACTTGGGTGTGGCCCCTCCCAACTAAACAAAAGGTAAATGTTCTCATATACTTTATTTTATTTATTTTTTAAATGAATCACCATGAAGTACAGTTGTAGACTTACAAACTTTCTTGCTTCTGTTTCAGTCATACGATGATTGAGTACCTATTCCTTCACCAGCGCCCATTCTCCACCACCAACATTCCCGGTGTCCCTCCCACCACCCCCACCACATCCCGCCCCCTGCCCCTGCCTCTGTAAGCACAAAAATCTGTAAATCTACAACTGTGCCTCAGAGTGTTTCACTAATAAAAATCTAAAAAAAAAAAAATACAAAAAGGTAAAGGCCTAAAAAAGGTATAAAAAATATATTCAATTAATATTTAGTCAATAATTATTCATTTTGCAATGCAGGGTATTAACCTGGGGCCTCACACGTAAGGTGAGCTGGTAATGGGCGCTGGTGAAGGGATGCCCTACTGCTGAACTACATCACTGGCCCCAAACTTTGAACTCCAGTAAATGACAATTATATAGCATTTTGTCAGCTGCCAAAATTAGAGTAATTAAATTTTGGGGGGGGGGGGGCACACCCAGTGGTGTTCAGGGGTTACTCCTTGCTTTACACTCAGGAATTACTCCTGGCGGTGTTCCAGGGGACCATATGGATGCTGGGGATTGAACTGGGTTGGTTGCATGTCAGGTAGGCAAGTGCCATACCCGCTCCAGCCCCTTAAATGTATTTTGAGAAGTAGACAACTATGATGTTCCTTCAGCTGCTGACCAACTGACTCATGTCACTGTCACTGTCCTCCTGTTGTTCATCGATTTGCTCAAGTGGGCCCAGTAACGTCTCCATCGTGAGACTTGTTGTTACTGTGTTTGGCATATTGAATATGTCACACGTAGCTTGCCAGGCTTTGCCTGAGACTTTGCCATGCAGGCGAGATACTCTCAGTAGCTTGCCGGGCTCTCTGAGAGGGGCGGAGGAATTGAACCCGGCTCGGCCGGGCCGGCTGCGCGCAAGGCAAACGCCCTACCGCTGTGCTATCACTCCAGCCCTTTTGGCTAAGATCAAGTGTAGTGTGTATTTTGAGATAATAACTGATATAACAAATACTATGATGAGAAACAGTACTACTCAAGCAAGCTCAATTAGCTTCAGAAATAAATTCTCCATGCTGTCCAATCTGCAAGTCATATATCTGGAATTCCCTTACCATCACAAAGTTATCACTGGCTATGACACAAAACCACTGGCCCAGCAAAGTTAACTGGCTGTTATAGAGAGTGGATGAAAGTCTAAATACAGCTGTAGCTCTAAAAGCAAATGTGACCTGAAACCTTGCTTGCCCATCTCTTTTCATCAGTAGGACAAGGAGTACAAAAGAGTAGGAGCGTTCACCCTAGTCATGTGGACACAACCTCCAAATACATAAATGGAAATTTTAGGTTTGCAGAAGAGATGATTCTTTGACCAAATCACTCTGAAAATATGAAGAAGACATATTATTGAGCTAGCAAGTAAAATATTTCAAAGAAAAGTTAATGAGAGCCTTTTACCTGATTCAATTTTGTTAAGTATTTTTCTTGCACACTGTACAAAGGCTTCTTCTACATTCTCCCCTGTTAGTGCACTTGTTTCCAAAAACATCAGCTCTAAAATTGACATCAAACAAAATATGAAGCCATATTTAGAAGATCATCATAATTACTCAGCTACTAACAGCCTGTGCAGTATTCTCTTAGAAAATCAACAACATAGATTTTTCACGTGAAGCCACATGTAATTTCAAACAAAATCAATATGACTCAAAGCCCCAGGTTCATTCCAGGATCAGGAATCTTTTCTGCTTTGGGTTTGGTGGTGGCAGATAGAGTGAATCCAGTGCCTCTCAGGTGAGGCATATTCTCTACCTGAGTCATATTCCCTGAATTTTAAAAAATGTGTACAAGAATTCTAATCTTTTCTGAAAAGGAACTACAATTTTATGCTGGTACATCAGTTCACTGAAGGACATATGCTTCATAAGAAAGTGGGCTGGCTGGAACAAACCAATTATCAGTGTAGATTTAAGTAGCAATTTCCTTGTCCTAATAATATTTGTGCCGCTACAAAAATAAATGTTTGCATTTGGGGAAGAATATTGCAATTTGTCATTCTAGTCCTGAAGATGTCTTATCTGACTTACTATCTTTTATCACTGAATTGCTTATTAATCCCAGCAGAAAAGCCCGTGCTTGCTCTCTGAAGCAAACCATAATCTCCCCAGCTTCCTTATATCCATTTCATTTCAATGAAATCTAAATTCCTTTAGAACTTTGAATTCTAAGTTTCCATATTTCTAGTTAGTTTTCCTATAAAGTCATAAAGTCCTATAATGACATATTTCACTCATTTTCTTAGCAGAAAATCAGCCAATCTGTAAGAATATAATTTGGTTATATAATTAAAACTAGTTATTAGATATTCTAGTTCTTGAAGTTCTGAGAAAATTAAAGTACTTCAATTCCCTTTTGATCTACATTTAATATTTGACCAAATTAGCTTTAAACTGTATTAAAAACCAACTTAGCTTTTAACTTTATTAAAAGAGATGACATCATCTTACTAGTGCCTTTAAAAAACTTATAAAATTCACTTAAACAAAGAATTGCATATTCAAAGATCCCAAATCTCAGGCTAGAAGATTTACAGTACATTTGTAAAATGGGTTTTATTACTATATCGACTTTCATAGAGGTAGATTATAGTGAAAATATAGTAGATAAGTCTATTTTATAATAGACTTTTAATAAGATAATTCATTCTATCATAACAATAGGAACTTTCACATTTTCTGAATAAGGTTTGATCTTAAAACTTTGGTAAAAATCCCAAACAATGTTATTAATTTTCTATTAGTTAAAAAGCAGAAATAGGAATAAAGTAACTTGCCATTTTCTTGAGCAAATCTGGAGGCCTCGAGGAAAGTAACTTCACGATCAGCATCCAGATCCTTCTTGTTCCCACAGAGGATGATCACGATATTCTGACTTGCTAGCATTCTGGCATCTGTTAACCAATTAGTAAGCGCATTGTAGGTTTCTCGGCTGTGTAATAAGATTGTGAGAATAATACATGTATTTTATAAAACTAGCAACTCTTTCCAGTCATTCAAACTACTCACAGCTTTTATATTCTTTTGTTCCTGCGGTAGTTTCAGTAGGGCGGTACTAGAGATTGATTCTAGGGCTGCATCTGTAAGCCCTTACAGTGCTTTTAAACATGTCAAAGTTATGTCAACAGCCTTTAATTAGGCACCTTAGACAACCTGAAGGCCCCAAGTTTACACCATAATGTTTGTTTCAAGATGGAGTATTCATTACCTGGTGATGTCGTAGACCAGGAGAGCTCCTGCTGCACCCCGGTAGTAACTTCTTGTCACAGACCTGAAAGAATTAAGACTTCTTTTATTTTCAACCCAGAGAGGCATCATCTCCCTAAACAAAATCACCTGTTTTTGCTTAGGTAATGCAGACATAGACAGTGTTTTAAAAGAGGTATGAATAAGGCATCTAAGTCTATGTATGAATGAGTTTTTTGGATGTTATGTCACAGAAATGACTTCGGGGGCAGGGGCTGGGGACAAGAATGATATTCTGTAGAAGGTGGATGAAATTCTTTCATGAACCATGAAGTATGCCTGAGAATTTAACAGTGGTGTGAGGTGTCTAAGGGAGAAAAGGAGTCATGACAGACTTTTGGTGGGTACTAGGTGCTCTGCAATCCTATCCCACTTTCTCTAGAGGTCTACACCTTCTCCACTCCTGCACAGCTGCCCACTACTTCTTGAAGGGAAAAGGGAAGTCAGTCCTTGGATGAGAGCACTGGCATCTTCCAACCACGAACCATAAGCAATATTGCTCCATCCTTACCTTCTTCTACCACCCCCTCTCCCCTCCATTACAGAATCAGAAACCTTGCTTTACCTATCTCCAGTGAGCACAGCATATATCTCATCTGCTCTCATTCTTGTGGATGTCCCCCCTTCAGTATTCTCTTTCTCTCCTGCAGGATCAACGTCTCCTTTGTTTTTTCGGTTTTTTTTTTCTTTTTGGGTCACACCCGGCGATGCATAGGGGTTACTCCTGGCTCTGCACTCGGGAATTACCCTGGGCAGTGCTCAGGGAACCATATGGGATGCTGGGAATCGAAGCCAGGTTGGCCGTGTGCAAGGCAAACGCGCTACCCGCTGTGCTGTTGCGCTAGCCCCTAACCTCTCCTTTGGTTAGATTTTTTTTTTCCTGTTAACAAAATAAAATTTGCCCTGGCACCTTCCATCTTAAAACAGAAGAACAAAATATGCTAGAAAATCCTTACACATGCTCCTTTTTGATCCAAATCCAAGAGTTGTTTTTATAGGTCACCTCCTTTCATTTCTAATACTCCACTTAAATATTCTGTGGAGCTTAAACAAACTCCTCGTATTTCTCTTTCCTCACCCCACACCTACTTTGCCACTCCTTGAAGTCTTTCCTCTTGGGCTTCTGAAGCCCCACTCCCATTACCTCACCCTAGCTTCTTTCTCTCTCACTAGTTGCTTTTTCAATTCTGGATATTCTCTGGGATCTTCCGAAACTACTCGAAGTTAATGTCAAACTACACAGGTTCTGAGACAGTAAATCACAAATGGGATGCTGCACCATCCTCAATTCTACTCAAAAGACTTGGGTAGAAGTCATAAGGCATGCTTATGACCTCTCCCTAAGATCCAAAATTTGCTGGAACAATTCACAGAACTCAGGGGTGTGTGCTGGCTTTTATTGTGGTTGCTGTTGTTTTGGTTGTAGCTGTATACAACTATCTGCTCTTGACTGATTGTGATGCATGGATTAGAGTGGTAAGGATGAAAATGGAAAGATGTACATAATATAGGTTATCTTTCTTAGTGACACCTGGCTAGAACAATTATTGGTCAACATATGGAGAGAGAATGATGGTACTGACTTTCCCCCCAACCAGGATGGACCCAGAAGGTAGGAATCAAAGACCTATGAATGTTTACTTTGACATGTTCACTTTGTAGTCACATGAACACACTGGGGCACCAACTGTATCCTACAGAAGTAGACGAGCTGAATAATAAATCAGTCACATAGATGCTAACAGAAAAATTGCTCTTCATCACTTATCACCAGAAGAATGCAAATCAAAACAATGAGCTACTACCAACATTTTTTTGGGGGTGGGACTTAACAGAGAATAGCCCACCTGCACTCAGGGGACCATGCAATAATAGGGATCAAACCCAGAACTTCCATATATAAAGCATGCACTCTAACCTTTTATTTTCTGTGGCACCAAAAAAAATTTTGCTTTTATTAACTGAACGCAACTCCTGGTCTTATTTCTGCATATATTGTAGTTTTAGTGTTTGTTCTAGTCCTTGAAAGATTCCTTTGTGTGTTTGATGATGGACCAAAGACAGGGTTTCAACTGTGGAGCCACATCCCTGGCCTGCCCACTTAATGATCTTTCTTTTTAGAAACTTTCTTCAGATGTCTGGTGATCTTTGGTTCATCATCACTTATACTGAAGAAAATGAATGAAAAAAAATCTAAAAGAGGACCTTTTTTTTTTAATTTTTAAAAAAATTTTTTATTAGTGAAACACCATGAGGTACAGTTAAAGACTTAAAATTTTTGTGCTTGGGTTTCAGTTATACAATGATCAAGTACCCATCCCTCCACCAGTGCCCATCCTCTACCACCACGGGTCCCATCATCCCTCCCACTCCCCATCCCCCCCATCCCATCCTGCCTCTGTGGTAGGGCATTCCCCCTTGTTCTCTCTCTCTCCTTTTGGGTCCTGTGTTTTGCAAGAGAGGCATTGAGTGGCAATCATGTTTGGTCTATAGTCTACTTTCAGCATGCTTCTCCCACCCTGGGAGGATCCTCACGACACCCTTTATTTAGTGCTCTCTTCTCTATCTGAGCTTCCTTTTCCCTTAGCACGTGTGGCTGGCCTCCAAGTCATGGAGCAAAATTCCTGGTACTAATCTCAGCCACTCCTGGGTGTTAGTCTCCCATATTGTTGCTTTATGTTCCCCAGATGAATGCAATATTTCTGTGTCTGTCTCGCTCTTTCTGATTCATTTTGCTTAACATGATACTTTCCATGTAGTACCACTTGTATGTAAATTTCCTGACTTCATCTTTTCTAACAGCTACATAGTACTCCATTGTGTAAATGTACCAAAGTTTCTTTAACCAGTCCTCTGTTCTCGGGCAGACTTAGAAACTTTCAGTGATTATGTTTCAGTCATACAATGATTGATTACCCATCCCTCTACCAGTGCCCATTCTCCACCACCAATGTTCCCAGTATCCCTCCTGCCCCCTCCCACCTCCCCCAACTCTGTGTCAGGCACATTCCCTTTCACTGTCTCTCTCTCCTTCTGGGTGTTATGGTTTGCAATACGAGTACTAAGCGGCCATCATGTTTGGTCCATAGTCTACTTTCAGCACTCATCTCCCATCCTGAGTGAGCCCTAAAAGAGGACCTTTAGGCTAAAGACTTGGCACAGCAGAAATTGGGATTTTTTTTTATAGAGAAGAATTGCTCCCTCTATCTTGGACAAACAAACTTTACAGCCAGCAACTAAGGAAGGGGTGGCAGAAGAAGATTAGGATCCACAGACTGTCAGTGGACTTCCCTTTTGTCAGGCTTTACTTCATCCCTGCTCTTCTCTGTGCTTGGGTGGGCTTGGGTTCAGGTCCTATTTTGACTCAGATGTCTTAGGTGTTTTTTGGGTATGCATATTTAAAAACACTTTCTTCCCTTCTGAAAAATGTGATTACTTACAAATCCCCATCTTTTCTGGGGTACAATAGAAAGAAAGAACTTCCCGTCCAAGTTGTAGCCTTTTGGCTTTACCCCAACTATTATGCGATCTTTAACATTTAAAATTTCTTCATCATAACTGTGTACAGTTTTTCACTGTTAGTGCTATTTTAATTATTTTATATTCAAATCTGTAGTATTTTGGAGAAGAAAAAAAACCTAAATCCACCAGATTTAATCAGTACTTTTAGAAAAAGATGACAAAAATAGGTATGACAATTTTTTTTTTGTTTAATTTTTGGTTTTGGGTCCATACTTGTTAATGCTTAAGGTTACTCCTGGCTCTGCACTCAGAAATCACTCCTGGTGAGCTCGGGGGTCCACACTGGATATGAACAATGGGACCTGGGTTAGCTGCATGCAAAGCAAACACCCTACTTGCAGTACTACCTCTCTGAATCCCAACAACATTTTCGAAGAAAACAATTATTGAATACTTAAAGGATAAGAGACCTAACTTTAAATGAAATGCTTGCAATGGGAATGAGTCAGTTTTATTTAACTTAGTCACTGTCACTGTCCTCCCATTGTTCATCGATTTTTGCTCAAGCGGGTCCAATAACATTGTGAGACTTGTTATTGTATTTGGCATATCGAATACATCACGGGGAGCTTGCCAGGCTTTGCCATGCTGGTGAGATACTCTCGGTAGCTTGCTGGGCTCTCTGAGAGGGGCGGCGGAACCAAACTCGGGTTGGCCATGTTAGCTGCGTGTAAGGCAAATGCCCTACCTGCTGTGCTATTGCTCCACTGAAACTATTTGTTCTGTTTTGACTTTGTACATGTATATTGTTCTTACAAAATAAAAGTGAAATACAAAGAAAAATATTAATTCAATTTAAAAAATATTTTTTCATACTGGGTCAAAAGTATTTTTTCCCACATTGGATCACAACCTGAGTTGCTTGGGCTACTTCAAGCAAAGAATGCACTCCAACCCTGAGTCATCTGCTCAGACCTAGGACATGAATTTTTGCCCCAATATCTACTGTACAACAAAAAAAGCCATATCCTCCTAGAAAGACCTACAAGTCCCAAAGAACAAGTTAACCTCTACATTAGAGTGCTTTCACTTGAGGTACCCTCTACCTTTTTTTTGGTATCACACACAGAGGTGAGGTGCTAGAGACTTAACCCAAAGCTCCAGCATTCAAAACATACACTCTCCTACTAAGCCATCTCCCCAGGCCCCTCAAAAGGGATCCTTATTTTAGTGAATCAGTATTACATAAGAAAAAGTGCCATTTAGTTTATTTTAAAGCTTCCAGAGTTAATATGGTTCAGTAGTGGTGTCTAAGTATGTTAAGTGACGTAATTATTTTAAATCCAATTTTCAAATACTTCTGTTAACTTAGAGAAAGACCTACCTGAATCGTTCTTGGCCTGCTGTATCCCATATCTGTAACTTTACATATTTACCACCAACATTTATTATCTTTGAGCCAAATTCCACTCCTATTGTATGATTTGAGTCATCTTTGACTGAAAAAGGAAAAGATGAAATTATTTCATTTTACGAGGAAACAGGTTTACATATCTAAACAATACTAAAATCAAAGTTCATTTAAAATGTAATAGATTCTGGTCATTTACTTCTCCAATAGCTGGTAAGAAGCATTCACTGTTTTTTTTTGTTTATTTCTTTACATTATATTTGGCTATAAGTGGTAATTTTTTGGGCTACTCTAGCATAGTGTTTGAAGGGTCATCCTTTGCAATGTCAGGGGAACATGCAGTGCCAGGGATCAAAGCTGCCAGGAGTCCTGCATGCAGAGCACTTAACCTATTCCTTTAAGTCATCTCTCTGACCTAGCACTCACTGTTTCAAATAGAATGCATGGATTTCTACCCTCAAAGAGACAAATTTCCCAAACTCCTGAAATCAACCACACATTTTAAAGCTGACGCTTATGTATGGTCACTCCATAGTCAAAACCAAACCCACTGTCCACTTTAGGGTTATCACAAATAATAAATACATTGGGTACCATCTCCACTGATTTACTTCTCATGACAGACATGTATCTCTGTCAATGATGGAAGGATGATCATTTCAATCCTTCGTTTGAATAAATATTCTTGAGACATAAAAGAGAAGGGAAAGAAAAGTACTATAGCCTCCAAATGGATGCCAAAGACTAAGAAAAAAGATCACTGTCTGCACTGTAGCACTGTCCTCCCGTTGTTCACTGATTTGCTCGAGCAGGCACCAGTAATGTCTCACAACATATTGTAAGACTTGTTGTTACTGTTTTTGGCATATTGAATATGTCATGGGTAGCTTGCCAGGCTTTGCTGTGCAGGCGAGATACTCTCAGTAGCTTGCCAGGCAAAATACTTATAAAATCTATATGTTACAAATGTATAAGTTATATATAAACAATATATATTATAGTCAACTGAATTTCATGAATTTTAAATATTATGTAGCAATGATTTGCAATATATGTGCTACAGAAAGCAACACAATCTCTTTCAATGGGCATGGAGGCAGGTAAAATAAGCCATCTGCTGGAAAACATTAGTAAAAGAACATTACTGTGATGATGAAATAATAAGCTAAAATCAAATATCAGGGATATATGGTCCACTGGCTATTTTTTATAAGCATGGGATAAAATGTAGTCAAACCAGAAATCATGACATTAGAAAATGGTTCTGTTTCCTGGAAAAGAGAGAGAGAGAGAGAGAGAGAGAGAGAGTGAGTGTGTGTGTGTGTGTGTGTGTGTGCGCGCACGTGCGTGTATGGGGTGGGGTGAGTAAGCAGGTTACTACTAACTGCATAGCCTGTCTCATGCCTAGACAATGAAGAATCAGTAAGCACATCTTGCTAGAATTAAGCACCAGGCCAACGTCAGAGTAGAAGCCTTTATAGGTGACAACCACGGGTAAGGGAATCATGATCATGATGTGGCCACAAGAGAAATAAAGCAAAGCCTTTCCCATGATGATTGCAGCAGACTAATCGAACATGCATGGCAATCTCCACAATGAGGAGATTTGTGAAGAAATCTGACATCCCAGTGAATAAATGAACAGTTAAATAAGAACTGGTTCTATAACTAACTCATGCTTGGTCTGTTCACGAAACAAGAGGTTCCACCAAATTCTTGGCTTATGAAAACAAAAGTAGCAGAATATATTTTTCCATTTAAAAATTTTTAATAACTGTGATTTACAAAGTTAACAATGGTTGAATTTTAGAACATTATAGGCATATAATGTTCTAGCACCAATCCCATCCCAGTGTCAACTTCCCTCCATCAGTGTCCCCATGCTCCCTCCTGATCCCCCAGCCTGCCACCTTGATAGGCACATTATACAGCTTGGGGCGTGTAGTTTAGATATCGTGTTTTCAGTGTTGCTAAGTCTGTGCATAGGGTATATAGCTCTCTGAACATGAACTCCCACTTCAGTGGTATGACTGAATTCCCTGACCCCCTGTCCCCCATAACTTCCCTCTCTCATCTTCCTTCCTCCCAACCCTCCCCATTGATTTTTTACTTCTCCTCCCTGTAATTTGGGGCAAAAGGTGATCTAGACATCCCCTTTACTACATTATATTTTCTTGTTCAGTTATTCTATATACTCTGATAAGTAAGAACATCCTGTGTTTGTCTTTCTTCTGGCTTACTTCACTCAATATATCTACTAGTTCCATCCAGGTTGTAGCAAACTGCATGATTTCTCCATTCCTGGAAGCTGCAAAGTATTATAAAAAATACATATATATGTATGTATATATGTATAACGCCTTCATAATCTATTCATCTGCTGTTAAGACAACTAGGTTGATTCCACATCTTACTTACTGTACTAAGTGCTACAATAATGGTGTGCATGCGTGTTCTCAGTATTTTTAATATGTCCCAGATATCTTATTGTTGTCTTGATTTGGATTTCCCTAATGATAAGTGATGATGAGCATTTTCTCATGTCTCTATTGGTTACCCACCTGTCTTCCACCAGAAACGTATGTTCATTTCCTCTGTTCATTTTTTGATAGGATTTTTGTTGTTGATCTTTTATAAGTACTTTATATATCCTGGATATCAACCCTTTATCTGATGTGATGAACTGCAAATATTTTTTCCCCATTCAATTAGGTGTCTTTTAGTTTAAGCCAGTGTTTTTGTTTTTGTTATTTTTTGCAGAAACTCTTAATTTGATGTAATTCCATTTGCTTATTTTTTATTCTATCGCCTTTGCCAATGGCATGACGTCACTGAAAATGCCCTTGATACCCAAATCTTGGGCCAGTCAGCCTACATTTCCCTTAATGTACTTTATAGTTTACAGTCAGATCTCAGGGTCTTTGACCCACTTCCATATGAGATATGGATCCAGTTTTAACTTTTTAAACATGGTTACTCAGTTTTCCCAGCCCCATTTGCTAAAGAGGCTAGCTATTCCATTTCATGTTTTTATGTTTTCTTTGTTAAAAACTAACTATTCATAAATATGAAGTTCTGTCCTTGGATATTCAATTTACATTTTGCAATTTTATTCTTCTTCAAAGTTCTTTACCAAGACATTCTATGATGTTTCTTTCACCCTACTTCCTACAACACAAGATTAATATGTACTTCATGAAATGAATGAATTTGGCTTTCCTACCTTTACCCAAATACCCAAATACAACATAGGTCATTTTCCAAAATTATTTCTACTACTATAAAGGCACTATTCATTTAATGGGCCTTTCAAACCTACAGTCTTCTACAATGGTTTAGAAAAAAAAATTCAACCTCCCTCGCTGACTTGCAATAACATATGGTTTTGGACATTTTGGTGATGTAAAGTTTGAATCTTACATCAAACCCTTAAGATTGAATACTGGTGTACGCATGTCTCCAGTTTGGAAAATTATATATATTTATATTACATATATATATTTTTTTTTAAGGAAAAAGGGTGGGGAGAGGTGCAGAACCTTGGTCATTTTTGGAAGGATCCTGGCACTGGTGGTGGGTTGGAGTTAGAACACCAAATGCCTGAAACTTATCAATAGTTTTGCAAATCATTAAATCAATATTCAAATCCCCTTACAAAACACTGGCCAAAGGCAAAGCACACCTTTTATGTTAAAAAAAAAAGAAAAAAAAAGACGTGGGTTTGAGACCAAACGTCCCAAGAGCACACAGCCAACTTGTCTTTTTATCTATAAAATAGAACTAATGACAGTACCCGTCTTAACTACAAACAAGGCCACAAGAGCCAAACATTTTACCAAAAGATACAAGCAGGGATCTGAAGTAGGGTGAGGGTGGGGGGTGCTCCCTGTCAGGATATGGATAGCATCATAATATACTTAGGATACATTATGGAAAATGTACAGGATGCTTGACTATGTAATGAAAAGTGCTAAAACTAAAGTGCAAAAACCCATACTACTAAATTATAACAAGATTTAATGCTATTTATAATATTTATAATCACATTCTCCTTGTAAAGATATTCAAAAGTTTTGCTATAAATAAACCTAAACCAAAGGACCATAAGAAGACATACATGAAATCAATTAATTTTACTTACATTTTTTTTCAATAAACTGATGAAGTAAGCAAGACTTTCCTGTTCCTGCATTTCCAATAACCAAGAACTTAAACAAAAAGTCTGAAAAACAAAGTGACAGTAAACAGTAACTTTAAAACAGGTTTTCAGTTTATTTACAACAGTCTAATAAAACCTTAGTTGTAAATAAAACAGAAAAGATAATGAAATGTTTTGTGAAAAATCATAAGAAGCATGTTATCTACTTTTTTCCAACTGGAAGGAAATAATTTATTGTCAATATGGGCCTTCACAAATTACATGTAACATTTCTTTTTTGTTTTGTTTTGGGCCACATGCTGTGGTACTCAGGAGTTACTCCTGGCTCTGCACTCAAGGATCACTCTTGGTGGGCTGAGGGACATACCCACTGTACTATTGCTCTGGTCCCAACATTTTCTTTGTATTAGAAACAGTCAATGTCCTGAACATGTTTGCCACTCAATGCCTCTTTTGCAGACCACAATACCCAAAAGGAGAGAGAGAACAAAAGCGAATGCCCTGCCACAGAGGCAGGGTGGGATGGGGGTGGGTGGGGGTGGGAGGAATATTATCCATGGTGGTGGAAAATGGGCACTGATGGAGGGATGGGTATTTGATCATTGTATAATCGAAACCCAAGCACAAAAAATTGTAAATCTACAACTGTACTTCATGGTGTTTCACTAATAAAAAGAAAAAAAAGAAAAAAAAGAATGGATGGAAAGGAACTAATTCAACTTTAGTATAAATGTAGCTAAAATTACTCTAAAGAGAAGGTCTGCTAAAAATCAATATTACCAGTAGTAATTAAAATGACACATCCAATAAAACTATGACTATTATTAGCCTTTTAAAAAAAAAAGTCAAAGTCCTAAATGTTTCAGTAGTAAACGTTTAGAAGATAATGAGTACTTATTATTGTCACATATTGTATATAAAAAAAATTACCTTACCTTTGCACCTTTCTGATACTTGGCTTACCTGATAACTAAGAGCTCTTTCAAACTGTGTAATTTGAACTATTTTTTTTTAAATAACAAGTCTGAAAACTATTCTTGCAATGAAGGAAATTTTCCCCTTTACTATCACTATTAAAATGTTTAAGCAGTGTGAAGCACAATAGTCTAGACATTTCAAGTATTTTCTGTACAAAAGAAAAATAACCTGATAGGACTCAAGGGTTGAAAAATTCATTACCTTGACAAGAAAAAAAATAAATGTAACTTTCCCTTAAAATTGCAGATTTTGGCTCTCTCTCTTTTTTTTTCTCTCTCTCTCTCTTTTTTCTCTATCCCATCCTTTTTGGTCTTTTGGTCTTTCTCTTTTTAACTGAAATCAATCTGATATTTAACATTAAAGAAGTTTTAAGGTTTTTAGAAACTTCTCTCATCCACTGATTCTCTATTTAAATTTTTTTCTTACATTTAATTGTCACTGTCACTGTCCTCCCATTGTTCATCAATTTGCTCGAGTGGGCCCAGTAAACACTGTGAGACTTGTTACTGTGTTTGGCATATCGAATACGTCACAGGTAGCTTGTCAGTCTTTGCCGTGCTTATATTTAATTATGTTTATTTAACATAGAACATTTTAGCTATATTACAATGACAACGATAAAATCACCATTAATAGGAAAATGTAGGCAGAACCCTCCATGACATTAAAGTTAAAAGCATCTTTAAGGATGAAACACTACTGACCAAGCAAGTAGAAACAAACAAACAATGGTACTACATCAAACTAAGAAGCTTCTGCACTTCAAAGAAACAGTGACTAAAATACAGAGAGAGCCCATACGATCATCCCTCCACCAGTGGCCATTCTCCATCACCAATGTTCCCAGTATCCCAGATTGGCTGTATGCAAGGCAAGCGCCCTACTTACTTCAGTCCCACGAGCTTTTTAAAAAAGTTTTTGGCCACACCCAGCAGTTCTCAGGGCTTCCTACTGGCTCTGTGCTCAGAGATCATTCCAGACTGAAGTTCAAGAACCATTATGGAATGTCATGATTTAACTGAGGTTGCCTGCATGCACAGTATCTGACTGCCCACGGTACTATCTCTGGTCCTGGATCAAGTTGCCTTAATAAAAATTAGAATTTAGTGATTGCAATTTCACAGGGCATACAAAACAACTGATCTCTAAATGACTAATATTATACATATTTGGGTCGTATTTAAAGCAACTGAATGTGTATAACAGAAAAAATGAATCAGTTCTCTGAAAACAAAAATATACAACTTATCTAAGAGAGATATTTAAAAAGCCCTATTAATATTAAGAAAACCAAATATCTGATTAAGAAGTTAAGGCACATGACTTAAGGCATGTGGCAAACCCCAGTTTGGTACTTTATACTACAGATGATCCCCTGAGCACTGCCAGAAAGGGTGCTAGAAACAGAGAACTAGAAGCAGCTCTTGAACACAATGGGTTTGCCCCCGCCCCCCAAAATCACTTTACATGCTTTGAAGCCTTACTACGTACCTATTCGACTCACCATTATGTGGTATTGGCAGGGGAGATACATATGGTTCAATGGAATAGAGAAACCAGAAAAAAATCAAAGTAACTGGACACAAAGGAAAAAAAAAACCCAACCTCGGCTTAATGCTCAAAACTTATTATTAGGAAAAAGTAATTCCAACTAGATCAATGACATAAATATCACTGACTTATACTTTAAATAAACTTTTAGAGAAGAAAGAGAAAATCTTTAGGGTCTCTATGCTATCTCAAAGAGTTCTAAAAGATCCACAAAAGGAAATCTAGGTCATCGGCCACGATACAGAGTCTCATTGTCCTTCTCTCCCAGAAGGGAGCATAACACAAGACACGCCATAATCATGCTGCCATGACTTCTACTTGGATCTCTTCGAGAGCCACGTCCACCTGCCCACATACCAAATTCCTCAGGAGGATATGTCGTTCCCAAAGTTCTCCCTTCCGAAATCGGACACGCCATTTCATCGGTAAAGAAACAAACAGCACCCGGCCCAGACAAGGTCAGACCTGAACACCTGAAGAACCTGCTGACAGTGCTCATCAATACACTGGCTTGGCTCTTCACACGCTGCCTGTCTGAACGCAAGGTTCCGTCCCAGTGGAAAACCAGGAGGACTGTTCTACTGTACAAGAAGGGAGACATCCATGACATTGGCAACTATCACCCAATCTGCCTGTTGTCTGTAATCTACAAGCTGTTGACTCGAGTCATCCTGAACAGGATTGGCAGAACACTAGACGAAGGACAACCATGCGAGCAAGCCGGGTTCCAAAAAGGATTCAGCACGATCGACCATATCCACATGGTAACGAAGCTCACTGAGGTTTCTTGGGAGTTCAAGATGCCGCTCTGTCTAACATTCATTGAGTTAAAGAAGGCCTTTGATTCTGTTGAGACTGAAGCAGTCATCAAAGCCCTAGCCAAACAAGGCATTCAAACTCAATACATCAGGATCCTCCGTGAACTGTATTATGGATTCACTACCAGGATCTCACCCTTCTACAAGGAAGTGATCATCGACGTCAAGAGAGGGGTTTGGCGGGGTGCTACCATTTCACCAAAACTCTTCAGTGTCACCCTTGAGAACGTCATGCGATGACTGGAATGGGAAGGAATGGGAGTGAAGATAGACGGTTGGCAACTACTCAACCTCTGCTTCGCTGATGACATCGTTCTAACAACACCAAACATTAGCCAAGCAGCACAGATGCTGGTCTACTTCGACTGTGAGTGTGGAAAGGTCACACTACAGCTGAATCTCACGAAGACAATGTTTATGAGAAATGGACTCGTTCCTGACGTTCCATTCGCTCTCAAGGGAACGAACATCTCCAAATGCAACAGTTATGTGTCCCTAGGTCGAGAAGTCAACATGATGAATGACCTGGCACCTGAGTTGCGCAGGGGGCAGAGAGCAGCTTGGAACGCCTTCAAGAGAATCGAAGAAATAGCTAAGAAGACGAAGAACCTCTAGCTCTGGGCACATCTCTTCGATTCCACTGTTCTTCCTGCATTAACACAGGCCTCAGAGACCTGGGTCCTACAAAAACAGGACGAGAACGCTATTCAGGTCTCCCAAAGAGGAATCAAAAGAGCTATGCTTGGAGTATCACACTTCACTTAAGTGAGAGAAAGAACCCAGAGTCCCGACCTCCATTGATGATCGAAAATCAGGGACGCTGTCTCGTTTGCCAAGGTGTTGAAAATCAGATGGCCTAGACACGTAATGCGATTTGGAGACGACTGCTGGACTAGAGCCATTACTGACTGGATTCCATGGGACGTGAAAAGATCGTGTGGCCGCCCACCTACAAGATGGTCAGACTTCTTTGTCAAGACCCTGAACGATTGGTTTGAAGCTCTTCGTGTTCCTGGAGAGAGCAGACACCATTGGGCTACACTAACACGTGACAGGGACAAATGGAGACGTTACTGGCGCCTGTTGGAGCAAATCGATGAGTGACAGGATGTCAAGTGATCAATTGATCAAGTGAATAAAAGTTTTGTCAGAGTAAAGGTAAAGGTAAAGGCCCTCCCGTTGATCGTCGATTTGCTTGAGCGGGCCCAGTAACATCTCCATTGGAGACTTTGTTGTTACTGTGTCTGGCATATCAAATACTCTCGGTAGCTTGCCGGGCTCTCCGAGAGGGGCGGAGGAATCGAACTCGGGTCGGCCATGTTGGCCGCTTGTAAGGCGAACGCCCTACCCGCTGTGCTATGTATATATGTGGAGAAAAGGTCATAATATAAAATAGCTTAAAACAGGTATATGCTGCTAATATACTTTTATTTTTCACAGGATATAAATCATATAATTAGAACATAGTATCATATAATTAGAGCCACTATAAAGTCAGTCATAAATGTCAGTCATTCAGGAACATTCAAGGGGAAAGATATATAAATCAGGAAAAAATGAACTCCATATGAATAGACAATTTCTTGAAACAATATATATGGGTGGCCAGCTGGCATTTGAAAAGTATTCATTATCACTGACTATCAGGTAGGTGCATATCAAAATATCAACGAGAAACCACCTCACACCAGTGTGAACACCTTATACCAAAATAAG